TGGGATATGGGATATAGGATATGGGGGGGACGCCCTGGGAAGGGCCCAGGAGTAGAGGAACTGGTATACGGGACATGGGATAAGGGATATGGGATATGGGATATGAGATGTGGGATATGGGATATGGGATGTGGTGGGGACGCCCTGGGAAGGGTCCAGCAGTAGAGGAACTGGGATATGGGATATGGGATATAGGATATGGGGGGAACACCCTGGGAAGGGTCCAGCAGTAGAGGAACTGGGATATGGGATATGGGATATAGGATATGGGGGGAACACCCTGGGAAGGGTCCAGCAGTAGAGGAACTGGGATATGGGATATGGGATATAGTGTAGCTGTCCTGGCAGGTGCTCTAGGGCAGCCGTGAAACCTGTTTCCACTTGAAAATGGCCCATTGGCGTCATGGTCCTGTTTCCATTCTGCCCTTTAGCTGAGCAGATGGAGCCTGCTGGGAAGTCAGCCCTCGACAGCTTCCAGCTCCCTGGAGAAGCCGGCTGTGCCCCGCTCCCCCCTGTATGCAGACCCCCGTACACCCAGCATCCCCAGCACGGCAGGCTTCGGCTTCCTGGAAGAGGTACCTGGGCACTGCCCTGACTCAGCACATGGGCTTTTGGCTCCCGAAATCGTGCCTCGGGCCATTTCTTTTCCTGCTGCCTGCCTGTGATGAGCGGGATGGGGAAATGGCATTTCGGGGTGGGGCAGGGCACGGCGTAGTTCGCTGCTTTTTCAAGCCAGGACAGAGTCACTGGGGAACAGGTTTCCCCTGTTTATCGCTGGATGCCAGCGTCACGGCAATCCTGGGAAGATCCAGAAACCACAAAACAAAGGCAGAGACTGAGATGCAATTGAGTCTGCAGAAACCAGAGATGAGTCAGGCACTGAGACCACTTTATCCACCCCCGAATATTCCAGCTGTGATAACTGCGTGCCTGTTGAAGGCGGCATTTCCAGTATTGCGCATCTCCTGGGAGAGGATTTCTGAGCCTGTGGCTGGCATCCCCTGTACTCCTGAGTCCTCCCTTCCCTTGGTGGGCTCTTCCCGACCACTCTCAGTCCTTCCTCATCCCCTGAGTAGGTTTCATCCCACTCCCTTCACATCTGGTCAGCTCCCACCACCTCTGTGGGTCATTGTGAGGGACCTGCAGCCATTTCTGCTTTCCCACCTAAGGCCTTCAGGACTGGGATGTAGTAAAGTGGGCAGAAAACCTTGTTCTGCCTAAATAAAAGTGGCAGGGCTGGCTTACGGGTGAGCAGCAGCCAGTGAGCAATGCCCAGCTCTCCACAGGTATCACATCTGGGGTTTGTTTTGGTTAAGTTCCTGCAGTGCCATGGGCAGATGAGTTCGGTCCCTGTCCCCCAGCATCTGCAGAAGAGGAGCTGCCAGCCCCTGCCTGCAGCTCCAAATTACAGCATCCCCAGCACCTCCCGTCTCCAGCTGCGGCCTCCTGAAGAAGGGAGTTGGTAAATGCAGCCCCAATGTCCCACACTGTGCAGGGAAATACAGGGGGGTGCAGGAGTCCCCACTTTGGGCTGGGAGAGTAGTCCCAAAAGGGCTCCGAGCCCCCTGCTCTGTGATAGGGAGCAGGGATGGAGACACCAACAGAGGATGCTAAGTTGTGTGTGTCTCTTTCTTTTCAGGTCTCTTTGCCAGAGGAACATCTGGGCCCTTCATTGCAGCCACCAGGTGAGGCTCTTGGGGGGCTGCTCGGGTGCTGCAGCCCACCCCACATTGCCGGTGTCCATCTCCATAAAGCATCATTCAGAGCAGGGCTGAGAGGGTGTGTGGGGACCCGAACCATGGAGTCCACCCATGATTTTGGTCCATTTTTCTGCAGATGGGGACGTCGGCCCTTACGACCTGCCAGAGCCCGGCTGCCTGCTCCGTGACTCCTCAGCCTACCACGACTACGCCGAGCTGCAGAGCTTCCAGAGCGACTTCAGCTACGACAACCTCTGGGAAGCTGAGGGGAAGGAGCTGGGCACCCCCTGCAGCTCCCCAACGCCCAGCCCACGGTTTTACGAGGTGTGAGGGAAATCCTCACCAGAAAAGACACTGAAAAGCCCCCGGGGCTCTTTTCTCGCTGGGTTTCCCTGCAGGGTGTACAAAGCAAAGGGAAGGGCCTTGCTCTACGAAAGGCTGGTTCCCATGTCCTGGCAGGTCCGGAGTTCAAACTTCTCCCCTAAATTGTGAGGCTGGGGGCAAAGCACAAAAGCGACAGCCTCTGCGGACCCAGCATAGCATCCGTGCTGAGGAGCCCTCCCCAAAAATCAAAGGAAGAACAAAAAGCTGGTCAGATTAAAGGGGTTCAGACGAAGCGGTCACTCAAAGGGCTGGTTAATGGCTGGGTTATTTTGCTCATTTTCCTTTCTACCAGAGCCCCCAGGCACTTTGAGGATGCTCTGAACCCTGAGCATAGCTGTTAAGCCAAACCTTCCTCCACTGAGGATGCAAAGATGCAGGAGATGTGCCCCATGGTGGTATGTAAGGTTGGGAGCAATAGCTGTGCTCACGGGGTTGTCTTCCTGCAAGGTCAGAGTTATCTGATGAGAGATGGAGAAAAACATGATCCAGATTTGGGCAGAATGGGACGTTCTTTCCACTTTATGCAAAAAATATTCTTTCCTGCCAGTGGTGATCTGCAATTTTAAGAGCCACACACCTTGGCAGGTGGAAGATAGAAATGTGGTGCCAGCAGACATACCCAGTGTGTGGTGTTTGCCAAGGTCTTCCCTGGAAAGGACGCCCTGGAGTCCTCTTCTGGGGCTGCGTCCTCTCCTCCCGCCCCTCTGCACCCCCCTGGGCTGGTACCAAACGCTGCTGTGACCTTCTGAGCATGGGGGGAAGGAAGAAAATCCACGACGAGCCAAACCCTAGTATGACCACAACACTCCAGTGACAGCAGTGCCACTGGGGGTCCAATCTCGCTCCCCACCCCAGCACAGCAGCGAGGCCAGGACACAAACAAGGGGGGCAGAGTCTCAGTGCTATTTTCCAGCCCCTTAGGACAGATCCTGTGGCACACAGAAGGTCAGCAGCAAATCCAAATATTTTTACCTGAGGCTCCGCATTCTTAACCTTTGTTCCCTAAAGAGGCTGCAAACCAAACATATCAACAAAATCCCTGTTTTTGTTCTTTCACGGGTGCAAACAAAGCAATCCAGGAGCTCTTTGTACTTGAATTATCTACGTATTACATTGTACATTTTATTTTTAATTTCAGAAGGTATCCAACAAAGTTTACATGCGAGGTTTGAGTGGATTATATGTATTTAAGGTGTAAATGTGGCTGAGTTGAACATCTATTTAATTTTCTAGCTGTGGATGACGTTCAGTGCTGTAGAATGGGCGGCTGTCTGCACATTCGTGTGTGTGTTGGTTTGGGTCTTCTCGCTGTTATTGTTTCTTTTCAGGTTTATTCTCGTTTTGGGAAGATTTGTATCTAATAAATTAACCCCCAAAGGATCTATTTATTCCGAACAAAATTGCACTGGGGAATATGAGAAGCACATAACGTGTTGTGGGGCAGCTGTGCTCCTGAGCTCCTATGAGCACGTTGGCTTTGAAGATGGTCACCATATTTTTAATAGGGTTTCAACAATGATGTATGGAAAGGGAAAAGCTCCTCAAGTTTCCTGGTAGATTTCCATGAGACCGGACAATTGCAATACACATTTTTTCTGCAATATTTCTCTTCTCTCTTTCTTTGCCATCATCTGGTTCAATGGAGGCGAATTTTTGCCCGTCGCTGCTGTCCTTTCCAAAGCCCTTCCTCCTTTGTGGCCCTGGATCCAGGAGGATTTCCTGAGTGCTGACTGTCTCTGCTTTAGGTCAAGCACTTGCAAACACCTAATCCTAGAGTAAAGTCTCCCCTGCCTTTGTCGGGCAATGAGACCCGGGTGAAGCTTTAATCCCAAAGCCAACCAGCGCTGGGATTTTGGAAAGGTGCTCTGTGAAAAGCCAGTTATGGCTCTAAAAGTTTAAAATTCAGCAGACTTTTAGGGCCAGGACTTGCCCTCCCAAGGACACGGCTCTGTGCAAGACAGCAACCCGCAACGATGGGTCCTGGAAGGTGCTGACGCTTGGAGAGGTGGCAGGAGTTGGTGGTGCAGCCAGAGGTGCTCCAGAAACCGAATAACCAGGCAGAAACTGAATAACCAGGCAAAAAACTAAATAACCAAGCAGAAACCCAATAACCAGGCAGAAACCAAACAACCAGGCAGAAACCAAATAACCAGGCAGAAACTGAATAACCAGGCAGAAACCGAATAACCAGGCAAAGAACAAATACCCAGGCAAAAACCCAATACCCAGGCAAAAACCCAATAACCAGGCCAGAGGTAGACGTGTTGGCCGCAGGACCCTGGTGCGTCTATCAACCCTGCCAGCAGCTCTCCCAAGCTGCGACGTGCGATCCCATCGATGGGTGACAGTGACACAGGGCCACCCAGAGATGTGACACAGCTTCTAGAGCCATTTTAGCCCCACTCTCAAAGCGATAACTCTCCTCCTCGGCTACATCTGGGCTAAATTTGTCACTCTTTCAAGCACTGCCCTTCCACGGTGCTGGCTGCTCGTTTCTCACGCTTCCAGCACGCCTTTGTGTGCAGCTGCTGTGGTCTGTTTGGCTCTTATTTCGGGTCTTGAACCCAGTCTCTGTGTCCGTGCATCACTGCCTTGTTCCTGCAGTACTTCTGGGGCAGGGTGTAGCTGCTTCCAGCTGCTGCCCAGCACAGAACACCGCATATTGGGATGAAATATGAGCATTACCCTCAGCAGATGGGCACCACCAGGGGCTTGCACCAAGAGAGAGCGGGGCTGTGGGTTTACAGGAGGCCTGAGCATCCCATCCCTGAATGCTGACCACTAAGGCCTGATCCCTGCTGTTTCTTCACTGCTAACTTGTAGTAATTAAGGATTGTGATTACAAATTGCCACTGAAATGGGTCCACAGCCTCTGCCATGCTAAAGGAGATTTACTTCCACCCTTTCCCAGCTGGGTTTAGCTCACTAGAAGAAGCCCTTCTTCCGCTCTCTCTCTATCTGTCCGCGTCCCAGAGGTTTAACAGCTTTGCTAGGCTGGCCTAATTAACACAGAGCAATTTATGTGTGAGTACAAGCCCCAAAATGCTTCCAAACCAGCCCCCATAAGCACTGGTCCAGACCCACAGTCAAGCTCCTCGGCACAGCCTGGTTTCCCTGTGGAGTCACTGGTTTTGCTGGGCATTGGTTTTTCCCCTGCTGGTTTCCTATCCAGATGCTGACCCCAGCAGGTGGGAACAGGGCTGTGTTTGTGACCATGAAAACCCACACTCTCTTTCTTTTCCTCCTCCTCAGCAGATCCAGGATTTACAAATAGAGGGTTTACTGAAAGTGGCATTGGATGTCTCAGTGCAGGTTGCACTAAATGGAAACTAGTACCTGTAAATGCAGAAAATACCTCTAATTTCCTTAAAAAGCCCCATATTCATCCTTTGCAGTTTGACTGCAGCAGAGAAATGGCCTGAACGGGGTCGCTCACAAACTGCAGGCGGAGCTGCCACCAAGGCTGTGCACGTCCAGTGCTCTGTTTGGGCACGGGGTGGCTGTGCCTTGCTCCACAGTGGCAGATGAAAGGCATGGGATGACACCAGCTGCCAAAAATTCCCTCTCTGACAAACGATCTCTCCACCCCCCCACTCCCTCCAAGTGCTAAAAGTCCCGAATCGGGTCCCCCCCCTTCCAAAACCATAGCTGGAAACCAGAGCAGTTACCGAAATGCCACGGGCTACTGTATTTTATCTCCGATTTCCGATTCCCCAGCCACAGTTTCAAAACCCTTTTGCTCAAAGAATAAACAGCAGAAAGAGGTGATTTAAAAAAAAAAAGAAAGTGGAGGCTGTGACCTGCTCCTTTGGCTTCAGGATTTTGGAGCAAAAGCCTCCTTTGTGCGGGGACTTGGTGATCTTTTTATTGTCTTCACAAGGACTCTTGAGGTTTGGGAATTCCTTGGTGGGTGCTGCGTATGAACGTGTCTCTTCCTGTCAGCGGCCCGAAACCAGTGGGGTTGGGGAAGGACCTGCTGAGCAAACCCCGCTCCCTGTTCCTGCTGGGAAAGCCCAGAGGAAATGTGCAGGACTCGCAATGAGCAACTCCCTCACTGCCCTGTGGGTGGGGGAATCCACCAAAATATGCCGTGCTCTCACGGCTGGCGGAGCCGGTGGCATTTCTGTCAGCCCCAGATCAGAGGGATGCCACCGATCCTCCCGCAGTGTCCCTGTGCTGGCACCCCCAGTGCTGGCACAGCACCGTGCACCCCGCAAAATCCCTCTGCAGCGCGGGGAGACAGCATTTGTGGGTCAGAAATATCCACGGGAAGCTTTGCTTTGCTTTTATTATAGAGATACAGAGCAAAAATAAGAGCGAAGGAGCAAAACGCATTGCTGCCAAAGAGGGGGGCTGGATGTGTCCCCCTTCCCAGCCGGGTGGCACAGGGCGTCTCAATGCCCCGTGAAATTCGGAGGCAGCTCCCGAGGATGCACCTGCCTGACTTTTTCACTCACTTGGCAAGGCAAGTGGTCAGATGTGGGGGCTACGTGCAAGGCAAGGGAGCGGGTGGGATGGCCCTGCGCCCACTGCGGTTGCCGACGCGGATGGAAAACAATCTCCCGGCAGTGGGGATGCACTGCAAAGGTCGTTTCTTATTGTGGTGGCTGCTGCTGTTGCAAAAGATGGGGAGCTCAGGGCTCCTCCCTCTGGGGTGAGATTCAGGCGAGGTGACCTGGTCGTGTGCGAGAGGAGAGAGCTTGAAAGGTCGGGGAATAAACCGAGCATTAAAATTGCAGGCAAGTCCAGGCTGGTTTCCTTGGAGGACACCAGAGACACTGCTGCTTGGCTGAGCACAGCAGATGCTCCCAGAGCTGATCTCCTGATACCAAACACATCTTTCAATATTTCAGTTCTGCAGTGGACTGAAAACGGCTTTTTTTCTGAAATATTTCTAGCCAATATCTGGCTGGAAACGCTCCTGGTTCTGGTGAGATCTTCAGGCCGACTTTGCAAGAACAGCTTTCCCAACCATTCTGCCCAGTCTGAAATTCAGTGACTTTATGAACTGCCAGCACTGCACCTGGGAGTACTGTACATGGCTGGGAGGGGAAAGAACTGTCCCTGCGTCTGCAAAGCGAAGGGATAACATGATTTCCTCCAGGCTAGAAAACACTAAACCTGGAAAACTCAAACTGAGCAAGAAGTCAGCGGTGACCGTTCCAGATTTGGCCATGTCCCTCACCTGGGGACCTCAGGAAGAGCCAGAGCCCCTGAGCCAGGAGCTGGTGGTCCCAGGGACCCCCTCCTTTCAGTAAACCTGGTTGCTGCCCTCCTCTGAGTCTCTTTTGCTTTGCTCAGCTCCGTGTTAGGGTCTCCCAGGAGAGCCCCATGTAATGCAATGGCCAATTCCTCCAGTTGTTCCCCCATTACCCACCCGCCGTGCCACGGCTGCTGCATTTCCACCTGCCACTGCGAGCACGGGGGTGTTTAATGGATCATGGCTGGATAATCAGTAAAAGCGAGCATATGTGAATGCCACAGACGTCTGTTGGGCCTGGGGATGCAGTGCCAGGCATCCCTGGAGCATCAAGGGGGACCGGGGAGGGCAGAGGCGATGCAGGTCAATGGACTGAACCTGGAAGATGCTCTGACTTGTGCTCACTGAGCTGGTCCCTTGGAAGAAGTGGGGACCCTGCTCGAGTCCTGAGAGCTTCTGAGACGGGGACTGAGCCAAAGCAGAGGAGAAGCTGCTCCTCTCTCTGCATGCTTTGTCCTCCAGGGCTCCTTCATCAGCCCAAATCCTGTGTTTTTCTATCAACAGACATGTAATAGATTGACTTCTCATTCGTTAAAACTCAGCGCTCCTTCAATGGTTTCACACACAAATAATGTAGACACAGGAATGTACACAAAGGTATTAAATGAGATAGATCTTTATTAGAAGCTTCCAGCATATTTTATCTGTTCTCCTCCTCTTACTGCACATACAGCTACTATAGTCCATATAGAGCCTGTACATCTCTCTCTCTCTTGCTATTTTCTGCAATGTATCCCACTGTACAATTGTACAGTGTGCTCTCTTACCAGCAATAATACATGGTCATAAGTGCAACCCCATGCACATTAAAATTGCATGGCACCCTGCATTACAAGGAAAGAGCTGAATCTCTTCTCTCTCGTTTCTTAAGACAAACGTTGCCCCAGCCTGCTCCTGGGAAGCCCATAGGCAGATCCACACAGGTCTTCTGGGCAGATTATCCCCAGTACCTTTAGTGCATCTGGTCCCTAAGTGCTTAACAAATCTCACATTCGTGCTGTTAACAGACTTGCGAGTGACCAAAACCCCTCACGAAAAATGCCCTTGAGTGATCAGGAAAGCATAAGAGACAGGGAAGAACCTGAACCGCAAAAAAAAACCCCCTTCCCCCCCGGGTCCCCTCCAGCCCCACAAAGTCACACACTTGGCCACTCCACGTCTCCCATCCCTGTATCTCTGGGATGGGAGGCAGCAGAGGGACCAAGTGATACACCCAGACCCTTCAAACAAACACATACTTATGCCTTCTCCTCCTCTGCAACATGCCCCTGTCCTTGTCAGGGCCATTCCTTGATCCCAGACCCTTTCCTGCTGCCTCTGTAGCCCCTTTCCACCCTACAGTGCTCTCCCAGATGCTCTTTCCACCTTCTCACTGCCTATGGAGCAAGATGTGTCCTTGCAGGGGGTGGTCCTCACCTGCCGGGACAGACCCTGCATCAGCAGGGCTGAAGCACCCACATGCAACAGAAACCCTACCCCAGCCTCCCCACCCGTGAGACCGAGCTGTGACTTCTTGGAGTGAAACCCAAGAGGACGAGTCCTCCTGCCACGAGCCAAACCAGTCATGGGAGAGCTGGGCCTTGCCAAGCCAGCGGCTGCTCCGTCCCCCTTTAGCTGCTGCTGTGGGCAGCATTGCACACACCATGTTTGGACAGAGACAGCTCTTCCCAAAGCTCTCTCCTCTCTTCCTTCACAGATTCCCCAACCCTTTCGTAGGAACAAAGCACTTTCCTGGCTTCTTTTGCTCTCTCCTCTCTCCACCACCTTCCTTTGCCACCGAGGGACTTCAGCAGTGAGGAGGGACGAGCAGCGCCCTGGAACAGACACTGTGACTACTCCTAGGAGATGGCACAAGTACGCAAGAAGTGTGCAAAGAAAGAACAGAGCTGGCCCACGCCAGGCTCCTCTTCTCTCCAGTACAGGTACAAACCGCCTACCGTATGGTAAATGACTGCCACCGGAAAGATCCTGCTTCCTGTGACATCCTGCCCCGTTTGGGGATGGGTCCAGAGAAGTCTTGGTGTTGGCATCCAGGCTTCTCGCACTGAAGGCCCCAACAAAGTCCCCAGCCTCCGCCGTCCTCACCTGTCCTCGCCCGGTGCTAGGTGCGGGGGTGTCCTTCTCTGACCTGCCGTCGGAAGTAGCGGATGGCAGAGAGCGTGCCAAAACTTGCCAGGAACACTGGAAAAGAGCCCGACACATTTCCAGAGTCAGCCTGGGTTCTTCTTCCAAACCTCAAGACCTTTTTCATGACTTGAAGATCACCAGCTACTTGGCTCACCCTGGTGCCTTCCCTTTCTCAGACCCCTCCTGCCTTTGCTCTCCATCCCCACCCCACTGTGCTGCTCCCAATCCTGAGCTGCCCACAGCCTGGCCAACCCCATCTAAGTCCTGCAGTTTAGGATCACACCATCATTTCACACGAAATGTCTTGTGAAAACACAACACTGACTTCACGTGTGTAGTAGAGATGGGTGGTGGTTCAATACACAGGTTTATGTGATCTGATGGGTCTGTTCCTGGGTGAGAAGGCCACAGTAGGAAACCTCACCAGGGCTTCAGGACAGTCCATTTCCTACTTCTGTTTGCACCAGGAAGATGCCAAGAAAAATACCATTTTGTGGGTTGTCAGTGGATACTCTGATCCCAGCCAAAAGCAGAAAATACCCCAAACTCTGAATCAGAAAATGCAGAGATATAAAAAACATCTAATGGATATTATGCACAGAATCAAGCTCTCCTCTGCACTTTAGGCTAATGTTTTTATCTTGGTTTATAGGAGAGGTCAAATTCCCCTTATCTGTGACCAAGCAAAACTGGGAACCCAAGCCATGCTTTTGGACTTCCCAGTTTAAATTCAGCCTTGATTATGATTTACATGCTAGAGCCAGGGAAATTCAACTTGCTAGAACCCAAAATGCCACCCTGGCTAGTCCAGGATGTCAAACTGTCCCTCGTCCTTCTCCTCGCCGGTCGCTCACTGCACGCTGGGTTATGCAATCCCGAGGGCACGAGGCCCATACCCGGCTTTTCGCACCTTCCCTGCGCCCACGTCCACCACCCCGTACTAAGAAGGCAAGGAGGAGCAGGCCAAAAGCTCCTTGTGATGATTGCATTGAGCAACCTTAGCTAACAAGCTATTCTCAGCCCGGGGTGTCAGCTTCCTGTGTGACCTTAGCGGGGAACATTCCTCCCCTGGACAAGCAGCGGGAAGACCTGGTCCTGGTGTCTCACTCTGTGGCTGGACCCCATGGCAGGGCTGTGGCACTTGTTGTCCCTCGTCCTGCTCATCCAGGGACCCCTTGGGCCACAGCTCAGCCAATTCATGCTCCCCAAGCTTCCTCTCGCCCCACCAGTTATTCAAATGCTGTGGTTTTGAGAGGAGAACTGAGAGAGCTCCGTTTACTTGCAGGACTCAAGGATAATGCTTCAGCTAAGCTGTATTTAGAAAGAAAAAGATTATACCATTGCAGCAGGTTAGAAAAATAAAAATAGGAGTCTAAACCTCCATATTGATCCCTTCCAGCCAGCAGGGATCCTAACGAAGCCCTCTTTTCCCTGATACATGGGTACTGGTCCCTGGCAGAGGCTGCATGGAGCAGGGCCAGAAAATAGGAATACAGACTTGTCCTATGGCTCAGTTCACGTCAGCAGTCACTCTGTGTTTGGAAAGGACAACGTAGGTGAGTGGGAATCAGGACTGCCATTGCTACAGGAGAGAGAAGGTATTAGAAAGTAACAGGGCACTTTGGAAAACGACTAAAATGACTGTATTTCCCCCCAGGCACTGTTAGGTGTGTTAGCATCCCTGCCTTTCTCCCTGCCATGTCTCCATGCAGTCCATCCCACTGTACGTACTGGTCTTCCAGGCATCCGGAGCATGCAGGTCTGAGGTCTTCACTGCCCAGGATGCAAAGGCACAGAAGACGAGGCACATGTCCTTGTGGGTCAGAGCTAGCGGAGTCTCGGGCTGTCCTGTGAGGAGAAAAGCATGAGTTTGGGTGTTTTACACCAAATAAGTCCCTCTGGAGTCCCTCCAGTCCTTGCACTCCCAGAGGAATACAGCTTTGCCCCACATTTTTCCTCCCAGAAGACCCTTTTTCACCACTGGTCAAGTCAAACGTGTCTATGTAGGACCTGGGTATGTTTTCTAAGGAGAGGGGCACATTTTTCACCCTTTTAGAGCCATGGTTTAGCAGTGGACAGGCTATGGTTGGACTCAATGATCTTAAAGCTGTCCCACAGCTCTAGGACAACACATTTTATCCTCCAAAATTACCAGCACTCAGCATCTCTCCACAGATCCCACCCCATTCCCATCACCTGCTCGGTCCATGGAGGGCAAGAGCCCCAAATGCTCCACATCCCTTTCCCAGCACAACTTGAAGACGTGCTGCAAGAGCAGGTTATTTTTGCTCCTGTGTTTGTTTGATCAGGCTTTTAATTAAAGCTGTCCTATTAATTAGCTACGACTGTGGCAAAGGGGTTTTTCTCTGTGCAAACAGACTGGAAGCTCTATTTTGAGGCACCCTTTGGGATGACTCATGCATTGTTTGGTTTTCATATTAACTATGAGGCACTGTGGCTGTGAGCATCATATAAGCTTTAAGATAAATATGCTGGCTGTCCTGGTGGGTCACATTTGCTCTCCCTTTATTCCTATTTCTCCTACCTGTCTCCAGTCAATGTTCAGGTAACCTCTGAGGTCCGTGAAGGGGGTTTTTCAAGTTAATTTGTATTTTAAAGTGCCCCTCACCTCTTTCAGCTGGAAGCCTTGGATGTGTCCCACTCTGTACGTGCCTTTTCTCCCTCAAATTCGATCAATTAGCAGCCCAGCTTTAACGAGACAGCAGCTCAGCAGCCATTGCCATATCTCAGGGGCAGGAGTTTTTTGGCACAGGAGGATTTTGCTGCTCTGCCTCCCACTCCCCCATCACAAATACAGGTTTGGGATGGCACCGGGTGGGGGATTCCTGTCTCTTGCAATAACACCAGATATTTTTAATGCAGATATCCCCTTCACTAAGCTTTTCTTGGCCAAAATGCAAATGAATAAATTAGATCCACAGTAATTTAAGTAATTTATATCCATTCAGGGAGACAACTGAGTCAGGCAGGACAAGGATTTTGGGTGAGACGGAGCTTCAGCCCATTCTGTGTGTGCTGTCATGGCCATCGCCTCCCCAGGACTGGGGTTTGCGGGAAGTAAAGCCAATTTTGCACAGAATATACCCAGATGCCCTGCCCACACCTCCCGCAGCGCTGGGAGCCACCCTGGGGGATGCGAGCATCCCAGGGGACAGCCAATGCCACACTGCATGTCACGGTGGTGGCTGCAGCCACGCTTCCCCTGCTGAAGCCCAGAGGTTGTTGTGTGTCAAGGGAAGGTGCCAGGTCTGTGACTTCAGACCAAAACGCCCCCCAAAATGCTCCCACCCAAGGCAGAGGCACATCTCTATGCCCCGCAGCGAGCTGGGGCTGTCGGGCAGGGCTTTACCTGTCAGTGCAAGGGCCATCTCCGGACCTTCTGGCTGTGGCTGGGCTCTTCCCGGCGGAGCCAGCAGGACGAGGGGCAGCTTCTCTCCAGATCCTCTCCGCACAAGAGCCTGCGGAGCTGGGCCTTGACCCCAGACCAGACGCATCGGCCTTTGCAGGAGGGACTTCAAAGCCCCCACAGCTTTCCTCACCTCGGAGGCCGGGGTGATTGAGAAAATCCCTCTCCAGCCCACCCTGTTCCCAGGCCCATCTGGAAAGATGTGTTCATACACCTCAGGAACCGAGATAACCAGGGCATCTTTGACTGGAGCTGAGCTGGGATCCTCATTTTGCAGCTGAGCATGGTCCAAGCTGCCGTACTTCTTTCGCTCCCTATCTTTACCCTTGCCTTTTTTCCTGCTGCCTTCTGGTTCATTGAAAAAATACTCATACAGTTCAGGCAAGGATATTTCCCTTTCCAAGGGTGTTTTCTCCCCCTCCACCGAGTCCCCCATTCCTTCTTCTTCCCCTTGGGAGTCACAGAACAAATAGTCGTACATCTCCGGCCAAGTCACATCCAGGGTGTCTGACCTTGCAGAGGCCCCGGTTGCAAAGCAAGGGGGGCTCAGCTCCCCGGGGGTCTTGGCTGCAGGCTCCCAATGAGACCCCTCAGCAGCATCCCCTCCAAAAGCTGCCACGCTTCCAGGATGAAGAGGTTTCTCTGGCACCTTCTGGCGTGCCTCTGCCAAGGGAGCCGCGGCTGCGCTGGCAGGGACTGCCAGCACATTGTCACGTATGCCCAAGCCACCAGCCTGCCCTGCCTTTGAATGCTTGGTGGCCTTGGCTTTCCCCGGAGACTGTGCCCCTGCCTCCTTCGCCTTCTGCTTTGGGGCTGGAACGCCCTCATCCGTGCCAGGGGTGGGCACCGGCCGCTTGCTCTCCCCTGCCTCGTCTGGCTTCACAGGAGCTGTCTTGGCTGCCTTCTCCTTCCCTTTGCTCTTTCGTGAGGACATGGGGGAGCCCAAAGCTGCCTTCACGGGTGCCGCAGCCTCCCTGTCCCCCAAGGTTGCTTCGGCGGCACTGGCTCCACGTTGCTTGCGGCTCTTCCTCAGCTGTGCTGGCACCTTGGGCCTCACCACCTCCAGGGAGCTCATCTCAGGGCCTGCTCTGTCCCCGCTCGCCTCCTCCCGCGCGGGGCAGACGGGTGCTTTGGGTTCAGTCTCCAGGACTGGGTTTGAGGGGTGGGCACGCAGGGGTCCCAGTAGCCTGGGCTCCGAGTGGGAACCACTGCTAGGATTTTTCCTTGTCAAAGCCTCTGGGGAGGCAGCCAGTGCCGGCG